ATTATGTACATTTGAATTGAGTAAATTCACTGCATCACTTTGTTCAGTTCTGCTGCTGTTTAATAAAACCATCTCCATTACAGATTTAGTCAAACCATACACTGTAGAGGTTAACACATAAAGTGAAGAGTATTTATCACCCAAATAAGCACATCATAAACCACAGCATTTCTATAGCACAGAGAAAACATACTTGTATCGAGTGGTTTCAACATGTCTGTAGTCAAACAGTTCTCTGTTTCCGTTATGGTAATTTCCACCCCGATTCAGCAGGGGCCTGGCCCGGATCATCAATGTATCGGCCCCCTATCTAAATTTTTGGGTGGTCAGTGAATTTTTCACGAAATCACAGTAGGTTATATGAGGGTTATGTAGCACCACAATGGTAGTGCCATGTTGTGCATGTTACCACTGAATGCATATTTATTCCAATTAACATTAAACATTAGCAACATTACACACATTAATGAAGTCACAGGTTAACATAAACCCAACAACCAATGCAACTAAAGCATGCATCTGCTCTTGACAAGCACATTTATGCCAATTAGAAGATCACTTAAAATCAGATGAAATTTACATAATAAGGCAGAAGAAAGCATCAAACTTGTAAAACCCAAACCATTTCCATTTATATCTTAGCTTTGACGACTTTATGCATGAAAGTAGACAGTTCGCTGATTGTTGTGAACAAGGACAATACAACTTTTTCTTTTACTCAGCCTGACATTTTATATTTGTTTTTGGAGATGGGCATCCTCAAACCCTGTCAGATCTTGCATTTACAGATCCACTAGGTACAGCTATTGAATATCTGAAGCTTCAAACTTCAAAACACATTCAGAAGCTTGACCAGTATCATGGTGATAGTGTAAAAGTTGCTAAGCAGTGATTGGAGAAGAAAATTAGCAGACATTTAGGAAAGATTGAGACTGGAGAGTGTCAAGATTGTAATCAGCCATGAGACAATGACAAATTGGTTCATTCTTTTCATTGTGCTGCTAGTAAAATTCCCACAGATGTTTAGATTTTCTCATAATTACTCATGGAGGCCGCCTAGTGGCCCAGGCCCCTGGGCACACCACCCATAAAACCTACTAGATGATCAGGGCCTGCCGAGGGTCTGTCTGATTAGAGAATAGCTTTCCATGAAAAAAATTAAGCGAAAACCTCAGTTTAACCCTGGCCTGCATTTAGAGTGTCTCTGCAAGAGATTCTATGTACAATAAATATCCCAAAAAACAAGAAATAGAAAAATCTCTCAAAAAAGAATACCAACTTCCTGAAGCATAAAAAAGTTTCTGTTTTTCTACACTGTTAGAAATAAAGGTTCTGGGCAGGTATATTTTTCGTTCATCAAGATACAAACAATATAAATGTTCCCTCAAAGGCACAACAGTGGATTTAAGGTCTGATTGTGAACCTTAAATAAGTTTTTCCAGGTGAAAAGTTCGTATTTGTACCTTTTCATAACCGAATGTTTTAAAACAGAACAATAAAATAAAAGTCCTGGAGTACAGCCTACAACAGGCTTTTGCATTTTTGCATTTTGCAATTTTGTGTGATTTTGCATGGTTGCTTAGGTTAATAGAAAATTTTTGCTTGTTTTTTATTCTAAGTGAATTCATGATGTGATTGTACAGACCCTAGGTTGAAGTGACCCTTCCATGGTGTGCATATTTGATCCATAAATATTCTTAATCCACACAAATTTAAGACTTTCAATTTTAGTTAGATTCTTGTGTTTTTCTTGGAGTTCTCATTACCTCGTACTCAGCAGAGACTGAAGGCTGAGTCTGCATGAATCTGCACAGGAGATGTGGGCAAAGTCAGTCTTAATGGTCCTGTGAGTTTAATCTGAGGATTATGTAAAGGTTGCATTTGCCCATTTTATATTGATTGAAAAATGAATCATAAAATTACAGAAGAATTTCTTTGAATGACTAATGTTCATTTCACATTGGTGTGCACTTTTTGTGAAATAATTATTGTGGAGGAAATGGGAAATATTTTAATTGTACAGAGAAGTATATTTTAAAAAATGAACTGTACATAAACAGTTAAATACATTGTTGTCACCATGAAAACTGCATAAATCTTTACATTTCTTATAAGGCAGTGAACCATGAAGAGCTATATAATGTTGTGTTTAGATTTTTGTACATTGTTTTAGAATGGAACAGTGACACTCATGTGTTTAACATATTGATTGATAGTTTTGATCTAAATAAAAATCTATATCTGAGTGAATGTTTATATTTGCGTAAAATTACATTTTTGTATTTTATTGTGGTTGAAGAAGCTGGCTTCAAAGAGAAACGTGAATAAAGAATAATATGAGACGGCATTGTGCTTTAAGTGTTTATTTATTTAAATAATGGCTGTTTATTATGATTTACAGGCCCTGACCTCTTTGAAATCCCTCTGATGTGCATCCAGCACTGATTTCTTTTCACACAGTGCCACCTAGTGACTGTAAATGTAACAGTATTTAGAAATCTTCTAACAAACCTCATCTCTACTGCTGGCTCTGTGTGTGTGGTAGTTCAAACCGTATAGAATAAAGAAAAAACATACAAAGAGCCAAATCCAAGAGCAGCACCATGAGATATTGCTTCGTAGCTTTTGTATTTTTAGTTTTTTAGTCAAGTACAAAATATGTAAAACAATTAGGTTAAATAATATAGAAAGTACATTTAATAAAAAAGCTCAGGTGCTGCAAAAACAGGCCACCAAAGCTTCTAGCATGAGAATCAATATTAATATACATCACAAATGTTACTGTATACCACAAAAAGATGAAAGAATAAGAGTCTGTGATTTGTAAAAATAAATAAAAGTAAATAAAAAAATTGTAAAACAATAGATTTTTACTGTTGCTGTCGAAGTAAGATGTAAGATAAATATAGTGAAGTTTGTGCTTTGATTGAAGAAATATTAAACTTTGATAATATGAAGAGAAAGAACATGATATAAGATTCATTAGCACTTCCTTCTCAGGCTCCCACTTTAACTACGACTTTTGCCAACTGTATGATGCTCTGTTTGAAGGAAGAAGCCAGTAGAAAAAACAATATGATCGACTGAACATCTGGCCAAGTCTTTCCAAAACATTTTTACAAAATCAAAGTGCCAAAATAAATGACGTAATGATTTGTGGTGTATGTTGCAAAAGGAGCAGTTTGAATGAAGATCTGTTTTAAATTTAGTCAAATAATGGTTTGTTGGGTAATATCTGTGTAATATTTTAAATTAGATTTTCTTTATTTCATTAGTCACTAGGAACTTATGAGGTAAAGTCTGTATTTTGTTCGAGTTTTCTTTCACAAATTTGGTTCCAATAAAGTTCAAATCCTCATTTTTTATTATTATTGAAGAAATTATTCATAACAATTATAACACACATGAGTACAATTTACATCACTATTACACTAAATGGGGAAATTCAAACAAACAAATAAACAAAATATTTTTTAAATTAGATTTAATTAAAAAATCTCATTAAAAAATCCTAATGATTATCAGACATTGGGGGAATCAAAATATTCTGAGATCTGAGGAAACTATTGCTATTCTCTTTTTTGGAACTAGTTGTTTATTAGAAGATCACAAAAAAGATTCACCACTTCGCAGTCAGGCCACAGAAAGTCAGGTGTGTATATACATTCATATAGACATACATTCACATTGATGTTAACATATGCTTTTCAATAACTAACAGTAAACTGAAAATACCTTGGATGAAGGGCAGGAGATATATGGGAATCCGGGGACTGATGTGTACTGCCAATTTAAATTATATAATACAACCCTGCTGAAACAAAAAACATAGAAACTATTAAGTGTTTATGTTGGTTCCTGGCCCTGCGATGGACTGGCGACCTGTCCAGGGTGTATCCTGCCTTCCGCCCAATGACAGCTGGGATAGGTTCCAGCACCCCACCGCGACCCAGAAGGATAAGCGGTTTAGATGTATGTATGTATGTATGTATGTATGTATGTATGCATGTATGTTGGTTCCTGATGGTTTTGTAATGTGTTTTGGCTTTTTAATGGGTTGATATCACAACGTAAAGGATCCAAATGGTTTATAATGGGTCTTTTTTTAATATGGAATATTTTTGAAGTGTTATTATTGACATTGCAGGACTCCATCTTTAACAAATTTCTGCCTCTGTAGTCTTAAATTAAGTGTTATTCCTTCCATATTATATAATTCCCAAAAGAAGCTGAATCCATGATTCACATCCCTGCTGGAAAAGCTCATAGAAACCATTCAATGTTTCTGCTGGTTCCTGATGGCTTTGTAATGTGCTTCTGGCTTTTTAATGGGTTGATATCACAGTGTAAAGGATCCTAATGGGTTAACAGGTTACCAGTGGGTGATTCTAAACGCATTTGGTGGTTCCCTAATGGGATCTAAGGGAGTTCTACAGGAATCTAGTAGTCTCTATTGGAAAACGATAAGCCAATTCCCATTAGAAAGCAAAACCATTAGGTTTCACTCCTAATGGTTTCTGTGCTCCAACGTTCTACTTTTAAAATCGATTTGTAAAATCAGTTTTCAACCCAAGCGCCAAAGCTCCGAATTCACCCCCTGTGAGCATTTTTATAATAAACCTGATCATAATAATTACAAAATTTTATATACATAAAGGGAAAATACCTTCATACATGACCTTTGTACGCACAGATCTGTGTAATTACATTTATACATTGGTGAATTGGCGCCAGCAGCAAAATAAGAAATATTGTAAATCCATTGCTGTGTTAAAGGTTTTCAATTTTATTTAAATCCCAATGTTTTTCTTTTTTCTTTTTATTTATTCTGGTATGTGAAGGTTTGAGGTATATCCTATTGTTATATCCGTTTGTATATATATGGATATATATATCTGCATTTTAAAAAAGCTCCGAATTCACACAATCGTCACCCCCCGATACTCCAGTGAGAAACGAGCTGGCGCGGTGACGCTCTGCGCATGTGCAGTGGTGTCCTCTCGCTGCCGGAGGAAACAGAAGCGCCTCAGCTCCAGAGAAACTGTCGGCAGGAAGGAGATTCTGGGGTATTTTGAGGTATTTTGAGGTGTTAAGGTTACCTTTTCAGGTGCACAACCCTCTGATGTCTGAAGTGCTGCTGTCTGGGAATGTAAACCCGTATCAGGGTAGTCATTCAGTTGTAGGTTAAACAGTGTTGTGGATGCTCTGTGCTAATGCTGTATCTGCTAGCTAGAACTCCAGGTTTGATCAGATCTGCTAGTTTAGCGAGAAAAAGATCTGACTCTGCGTTAAAATGACCTCCTGACACCATCTTTGGCCTTGTAGACAGAAATCTAGCCTACTTTTCTGCTCTACAACGATACTAATTCCTCAGTTTGCCTGTGTTTACATAGGCCTAGCCTACACTTATGTTAAAAAACTACATAATTTCCCCAAATACTTATTTATGTTTACCCTGTTGTGTCTAGCTGCTCGTTATTAAACCATTTATCCTTCTCAGTCATAAATTCATCATTATTTCTCTTTATTTACATAACCACTTGATTTGTATTGCTCTTGCAGTGTGTTGCTTTGTTTGTTAATGTACTCATTCTTTCTACAGAAGTCTTTTTTCACCTAGGACCTCTTGGTGCAGGTGTCAACATGAAATTAAACTCAATAAAACACAATCTTAAAAGCGTGGGAGCCACAGTCGAGCACTGATGTATGTATATACAGTATGTATATACAGCTAAGAGAAATGAGCAGCAAATATGAATGTTAACATAATTATAAAATGTGTATTGCAGTAAGTTAACATACATATGTGCACAGAGTACAGTAGAAGAAAGTGGGAAAGGTTTTTATTCAGAAGGATTATGGCATGGGATAGACAGTAGTTATGTGCAGTACATTGTGTGTGTCATACAGGATTTCATTCAGTGTTATTCTGTTAAGGGCAGTGGTGACGGTCCCAATAAAGTAGGGGTGCCAAAAAGACAAAACATTATAGAAATAAAGAAGGTAGGTAGGTTTCAAATAGTTCTTACAAATCTATTTCATAAAATTATGCTGTATTTTGATATTAAAATATTTCAGGAATGCAAGTTTAAAGGGGAAATAAGAATTTATTAAATTATATTTATATAATTTTAAAATGCTTTTGGAAACCTTGGGCTGCCTAGCATTTATTTTTTTAACATTACCTGTATTAGTGAATAGGCAGACCCTGCTAGTAAGCAACCAGCAGTAAATTACTTTTTGCAGTAAGAGATGCCATGATTTTATTTCAAGGAGTATACATATTGTTTACATGTTAAATTAAGTTGTTACAAATGACCACCCACATGTAAACTATATATCACTACTACCCCTGAATCTTTGGTGATATGATGCTGAAGTCAGCTATTCACCAGCGTTTTGTTCAGGTGCCAGAATATAACTGCTGCCTCGTTTAAGGTGGGACAGGAAATTTAGCTAGCTAGCTACCAAGACATCAGCAAACTACTAGCGATTGTTGAAACTTGTTATGAAGAATAACACATTGAAATGACATTAAACTAAGATAATACAATGGTAATTGTAATTTTTAACAGAAAATTCTAACGTTTGTGGGTTTCTTTGGTCGCTTGTGCAGCCATCTTGCTGATTTTCCTTTTTTTTTTTTCTCATAACACTCTGTTTGGAGTGTTCCTCTGAAAAACCTCAGTGACAAACCACGTAGCCCTAACACTTCGCCCTACCCCTCTATCTCAACAAAAATTGAGACACCCTACTCCTAGGTGTGAATGCGCAAAATGGAGGGGTATTAGGGGCAAGGGGTAAAATCAGATTAGGCCTTAGTATTTCATGCTATCCGAAATCATTTGGCCACGCATAATCAGTAGTAATATCAAATAATGATGAATCCTTAGGCTACAAACCTGCACATACAATGTCTCTGTAAGGTAGTAGGCTAAAAAAAAATTACATAAGTAGTCTGTATGTTTTTTTGGATAGGCATCTAGTATAGACCGTATATAATCAAAATGCTAAACAAAGACAGTTTTATTTTGTTAATCACCTTGGAGGAGGCATTTAATTCGGCATTTAAATCTGTCCGTTAATCCAGTAAAGTAGAATTATGCCTGAATGTAAATTCATAGCTTGACTGAAACATATTGGCAGTATGAGGGTAGAATTCATCTTTTGTCCACCTAAGTTTCAAACATCGTCCATTAGTTTTTGTGCAGCTTACTGTTCTACAATCTTCTCGTTTACACAGAGTATAATTCGCTTTTGCTTCTTTTTTTTGCAGCAGTTTAATACAAAAAAAAATTGCAGTGCTACAGGCAAATGTTGTTAAAGCCAGATACTAATGTGGGAATTCTTTTTTCATGATCCGCCATATTTTTGTGTGTCTTGGTGAGATCTTTTCAGTAAGAATCATTTATATGTTTGTTCAGTATATTATAGCTAATGCTGCAGCTGGCATTAGACAACCTTAATTTTCTTGGCTTTTGAGTTTATGCATGTAGGGTCTAGATGTGAAGTTATTAATCTGAAGAAACATTTTAAAAAACATTTTAATTCTTAGAAGAGCCATTTACGGTTCCGTAAAGAACCTGGCAAGAAGTTGATTTATGAAACTAGAAGTGGAGCAGTGAAGAATTGTTGTTATGAAGAACGCTAACCTGACATGACTTCACCAAATTCTGGGCACAACAGTTCAAAACTAACAGGCCCATTCTAATGACACTCAGAATGTTGAAACATTTAGCCAATTATGTAGAAGGAAAAGTTTTACAGCTTTAATTGTGAATACTTTAATTAAACTTGAGCTTTTATTATGAGAATTACAGACTTCCTTGGTTGTCAGCCACTATGTTTAAATACAAGCCCATTTCCAAAAGAGTTGGGACACTGCAGAATGTAAATAAAAATAGGATGCAGTGATCTGCAAATCATGTAAACCATATGTTTAAAGGTAAATACTACAAAACCAATATATTGAATGTTGAAACTGAGAAATTTTATTGTTTTTTGAAAAAAATATATGCCCATTTTGAATTTGATGCCAACAACACATTCCAAAAAAGTTGGGATGGGGGCCTGTTTACCACTGTGTTTCATCAGCTTTTATTTTAACAACACTCTGTAAGCATTTGGCAACTGAGGAGACACTGCTGTAGTTTTGAAAGTGAAATGTTTCACATTCTTGTTGATATAGGATTTCAACTGTTCAACAGTTCAGGGTCTCCTTTGTTGTATTTTTCATTTTATTTCAAATGTTTTCAGTGGGTGACAGGTCTGGACTGCAGGCACAGACAGTGTTTTTAGAAGTGTTCCTGAGCCCATGCAGTGATTTCCACTACAGAATCATGTCTGTTTTTGATGCAGTGCTGCCTGAGGGCCCAAAGATCACGGCCAGCAAATACTGGTTTTTGGCCTTGACCCTTACATACAGAGATTTCTCCAGACTCTCTGAACCTTTTAATGATATTATGTACTGTAGATGATTAAAGCAAAAGTTCTTTGCTCTTTTATGTTGAGAAACGTTATTCTTAAATTGTTGCACTATTTGATGGTGCAGTCTTTCACAGAGTGGTGAACCCCTCCTCATCTTTACTTCTGAAAGACTCAGCCTCTCTGAGATGCTTTTTTATACCCAATCATGTTACTGGCCTGTTGCCTATTTACCACCAAGTGTTTTTTTTTAGCATTACACAACTTTACCAGCCTTTTGTTGCTCTTGTCCCAACTTTTTTGGAATGTGTTGTTGGCAACAAATTCAAATGGGCATATATTTTTCAAAAAACAATAAAATTTCTCAGTTTCGATATCTGATTTGTTGTCTTTGTACTATTTGCAATTAAATATAGGGTTTAAATGATTCACACATCATAGCATTTTGTTTTCATTTAAATTTTGCACAGCATCTCAATTTTTTGGAAATGGGGTTGTAATAAATCAGTCATGTGCCTATTGCTGTGACTTGTGAGTACTGTGGACGTCTTGCGATTTTCACAAATGAACTTGGATGTAATTAGGTTAGCTGCCTAATTACTCACCCACATCTGCATGGTTGTAATTGAAAGCATTGAAGTAGTACACAGTGGTTATATTTCCATCATGCATATGTTGAATGCTCGTGTGCCTAAATATCAAACATTAATTCTAGCACAATGTTTGTTCTATTTGTTTACATTTTGTATGATGATCTGAGCTATCCTTAAGAAGCATAATCAGCTACCATTTGTTATATTGAATAAGCTCATTAAAACCGTATTGTAACTAGATATGGAGTAAATGGTTTGCGACTGAAAGCCATGCAGTGATTTTAACACTCATATAAATGTTTGTATGTTTTACTGTGATGGCTAACATCTTGTGTGGTTTGTGTGCAACTTTTAAATGTCCCTCTGCTTGTTAGATGCTGATGTATTTCTCACTTGATAAACACCTATTGTAGGACGTCTTAAGGGGCAAGGTTTGCGCAAGGAAATACAAAACTACAGAACGTTAACAAGATGGTCATAAATTGGTGAACTGAGTGTTGTCTACGGTATGTACAGTGGCCGACCATTTTGTTGTACTGTTATTGTATTTCAAATTGAGTTTTAATCCTTATTTGTTTCATTTTCTTTTTTTCTTCTAGGAATGAATAATCTCTTGTTGCAAGTCTTCTCCTGCTCAGCTTGCTTACATTTCTACACAATTTAAATTCATCATCACAAACAAGTCAGGAGTAAATGTCACAATGCTGAAACCAGGAGAGATTAAATGTGAGGATACAGAGGTGCCAGTGGTGGAACCTGAAGAGTTTAAAAGTGAAGTGGTGGTGCTGCCAGTTCTGAAACTGGAGGAGGTTAAATGTGAGGATGTGGTGCTGCCAGTGAGCTTGAATAATCAGCAAACATCTGCTATTGCTCCCTGCACAAACACCTCCAACAGAGAAATGCCGAACACTGCAGGAAAGGAGAGATCTCACCACTGTATACAGTGTGGGATGCGCTTCAGTGATCAGAGTAGCCTCCAGCGACACCACCACATTCACACAGGAGAGAAACCGCATTACTGTTCATACTGTGGAGAGAGTTTTGTTCTGCCAAGTCATCTCCAACTGCACCAGCGCATTCATGCAGGAGAGAAGTTGTACGACGAGTCAGAGTGTGAGAAGAGCATTAATGAGAGTAATGTCGAAACGCCTGAGCGCATTCAATCAAGAGAGAAGCTCCATCAGTGCTCAGACTGTGGGAAGACCTTTAATCGCCGTTGTTATCTACAGCTACACCAGAGAGTTCACACAGGAGAGAAACCGTATCAGTGCTCAGACTGTGGGAAGAGTTTTAATCGACGTAGTTGCCTTCATATACACCAGAGTGTTCACACAGGAAACAAGCCACATCATTGCTCAGATTGTGGTAAGACTTTTAACAGACGAAGTCATCTCCAAAGACACCAGCGCATTCACACGGGAGATATGCCGTTCGAGTGCTCAGAGTGTGGTAAGAGCTTCAATCATCAGCTTCATCTCCAAATACACCAACGGACTCACACCGGAGAGAGGCCGTATCAGTGCTCGGAGTGCGGAAAAAGGTTTAATCAAAAGAGTCATCTTCTGCGACACGAGCGCTTTCACACAGGAGAGAAGCCACATCGATGCTCAGAGTGTGGGAAGGGTTTTTCTCTACAAAGTCATCTCCAAACGCACAAGCGCATTCACACCGGAGAGAGGCCATATCACTGCTTAGAGTGCGGGAGGACTTTTAGCATACTAAGTCATTTCCAAGAACACCAGCGTACTCACACCGGAGAGAGGCCATATCACTGCTCAGAGTGTGGGAAGAGCTTTAATCGACAGAGTAATCTCAAACTACACCAGCGCATTCACACAGGAGAGAAGCCGTATCAGTGCTCAGAGTGTGGGAAGAATTTTAATCAGCGGAGTCATATCCAAAGACACCTGCGTGTTCACACAGGAGAGAAGCCGTATTATTGTTCAGAATGTGGGAAGAGCTTCAGATATACAAGTACTATAAAGAAACACAGCTGCAATAAAAACAACATAGAGACCCATAACACATGAGTATGTAAGACAGTTTTCATCTTGTTGTAGGTTTTTTTTTTTTAACATACACAAATGATATAACAGTTTATGCTGGGTTCATTGCTTATTAGATACACATAGAATCGCGCAGATTGTACATTTTTAGCATAAATGAGCTTTAGAATGGGCAAAGTGTCCATGGCCTTGGTGATTTTGAACGTGGCAAGTGCATGAAGTCATCTTGGAGTGCACCACTTATTGGTCTTGAATAGGCTACTATAGCTGAAGTCCATGTGGAGTGAAGAACTAGGAATTGCTTCTCCAGTGGGCATGGGAGCATCACAACTGCCCTGTTGGGTGGTGGAAAAAGAAGTTACTTTGGCACGTATTTCTAGGTCCGGATTTCATCATGCTGTTAGAAGCGATAGAATATGTCACAAGCAACTAACCATGAAGCCATCCTGCTTGGCATGAACAGTGACACAAAGTGGTTTGAGGAACATGGCAAGGTTTCATTGCTTCGGTGACTTTTGCAATTTCTGGATTTCAGCCCTATCCAAGCATTGTTGGCATGAGGTTGGATGAGCTGTTGCAGCAGGAGCGCAACCATTAATGTTTGCAGCAACTGTGCAATGCAATTATTTTACATAAGAGGTCTTTATTTTCTCTTTTGTGTGATTTATATGCTAATATAATTATGTAATTATTGTTCCTAAAAGTTTTTATCCTGTATTTGTATTTGACTGTACTTGATTTACGGTTACATGCAATAGTTTAGGCACCTGTAACATTTTGCTAATTTTTGAAATGAAAAGAATATAACACAACCTTTGCAGCAAGTTATTTTAGAGAATATAATTTTTGTAAAGGTTAATGCTCATTTACTTTATATTCGGTTAACTTAAAAAAAGTAGGAAAAAAACAAAATAGTGATTGATATGTGTCAGAGTTCAGGCTAAGTAAAAACCCTGCTGCCAGCTGTCTGTTCAGTTTTTGCTTTGTCAATGCAAAGCACTTGTTTCCAATATGTCTCTGGCTTATCTAGATACTTTTCTGCATACTTTAGACTTTGACATTTGTGACAAGGTTGCAAATCGTCTTTCTTTCTGATGACTCTTCCAGGCACATCATGCTTATGCAAGCAGTGTACACAGACAAAAGGTACCACCACTCTTGCATCAGCTTAACCTTTTTGCAGATCCTTTGCTCTCATATGGGGGTTTTGCTCTGCTTTTTTGACCAACATACAAGCAGTTCTACCTGAGAGTTTTCTTGGTCTTCCAGATCTTGCCTAGACTTTAAATTCCCTCTTTAACCTTTCTTAATGTTTCAGGCAGTTAAAATTGTGAGCAAGTGCTTTGATATATTTTTATACACTTCTCCTGCTTTGTAGGCATCAGTTCGCTTCATCTTCAGAACCTCAGCCAGCTGCACTGAGGAGCTCATAGTTTTTGTGCCGAGTTTTTAAAGAGTTTTTAAAGTATTTTTGAGTCAGAAAATGTATTTTGCTATGGAATTGACATCAGTTGAAAATTCCTAATGATGATTCTTGACCCGCCAAATTGGTCTTTTGTCAATGTTTTCTTTGTTGCTAAAATTTTACTAAGTTTACAGAGATTCAAGAGTTTGCTTTATATAAGAAATGTCTTTTTAAATATGTAGATGAAATAACAGTGTCATCCCCAGGGGACTTCTCACAGAAGGGGGAGAGAAAAAAAATATCTGCCGGTGGGACATATCAATTGTGCCTTACACCACTGCATGGTTCCACATAAATGTGGAAAAAGAACTGCCTACAGTATTGTAACACTACTGACTGAACCGTGAAAAGTGTACTGTATTTACAGTACGAAAGGTTGGACTATCCCTAATCCCAGTGTAGGTTGGAGGGTTATGCTTTTTCCAGTTTAAAAGAATCAAGACAGGGGATAGGTGCACTGTACAGGGGATAAGTGCACTGGACAGAGGATAAGCCCCTGTCCATGGCACAGAGTGGACCTGATGTAAGATAGTGTTACAAAGAGTATCTGATAACTCTAGAGTCAAACACTACGTTTTTTTAAGAATCATCTCAGAAAGAATAGTGAGGTCAAATACTTTAAAATACAAGAGGAAATTGAACCTTGAAAAGACTTTAAAAAGACCATCTATAGGAAGGGAATGGAATATGTAGCAAAACAGTACACATTTCTTACAAAAATCTTGCTTGGAGATAAAGTGAGTATTAGGAAGATTAAACAACTCAGAAAGCTGTTGTAATTAGGCAAGGTATCTTTCCTTAAATAAACATGATATAGATCTTACACTTCTCTTAGCCCAGATTTAAGTCCATCATGTAGGGGAAACCTAACCTTTGTGAACCTGATGAGTTAACAAGTTCTTAGATGACTGGAAGGGTGTCCAGACGTCTGCACATGCTACAATAACTATAAAAATATATTTTTTAGCAAATAAAATAACTGTATTAAAAGATTTTTAAATTAGTTTGCTACAGTGGTATTAACTACATTTCACTTCAAAATATGTAATTTGGTTGTGGGTGCCCAAATTGTTGCATGCTGTTTGATTTAAGCATGTAATTGAATATGTCTATTTTCTGACCAAAAGAACACTTGTCAACTGCTGCTGCTTTGGCCCATATGTCTTGAAATTATTTCTTACTGAACATGGTGAGGGGCGGCATGGTGCCATAGTGGGCACAGCAAGAAAGGCCTGGGTTTGATTCCCTGGCCAGGCAACTAGGGTCCTTTCTCACCCGTGTCTGCATAGGCCCCCCCCCACAATCCAAAGACATGCAGTCAGGCTAATTGGAGATACTAAATTGTCCCAAGGTGTGAGATGTATGTCTGTGTGTCGGCCCTGTGATGTCTGCCCTGTGTCTCCTGCCTTCCACCCAATGAGTGCTGGGATAGGTTCCAGCATCCCTCATGCCCCAAGAGGATTAGATGATGAGAGAGAGTGAGTGAACATGTTGAGCCTAAAACCTTGTCAAAGATTTTGAGGTGACACCATAAATGTCAGCAAAAAGATTACGTTTTTTATTAGTACTAAATCCTTAGCAAAGAAAATACAGACCAGACATTTCTAGACGACTTAGAGGTGATTCCTAGAGGGATGACCTGGTTCATCCAGACAATAGGAGATGGACTGTTTTTGGAACAGGTAGGGTGGTAGGACAGGATTAGACATCTACAATACTTTGACCTCTGGAAACATGTGAAACAGCAAGGCTGATGCTGCTTGAGGAGTCCAGGACTTATACTAAAATTCTAGGATAACAGGAAGCAGTAGATTTTGCCAAACCAGAGATCAGTCAGCTCCAACCAATAGAAGTTATTTTTACCATGTTTTACTTTTTATGATATTTAGTTTTTATTATTTTTTGTTTTATTTTTGTTTTATGAATCATTGCTATAGGCATCATACATTTTCCAGGCAGAGAATGTCTTTGAATAAATCTCATATGGACAGTTTGGTATTATGGAGATGTTTTTGTTACCAAAGAATTCTTAGAATATATTCAAGTTTTTACCCTGTAGAAGAGATGTGCAAGTTCAGCCTTATAATTAATAATGAGGAATTTCAAAGGTTTTATGCAATTAGATACTTTGAATTTAACAATAGAAAACAAAATTATAGCTTAGTTGAAAAAAAAACATACAAGATATCAGTTAAAACAGTTTAAATCAACGTCTGTCCTTTTCCAGCTTTTACAGTGTGTGCTGCATTTTTATTAATTTAACTTTTATTGAATGTTTAAGTATGTTTAAGTAAATTATGCACGCATATGTTGGATTTTTAATTGGGGTCCAAGCTATAGGAATGTGTGGTATGCAAGTAAGTGATTAGGGCTGGGAGGTTTACCTTCTACGTAGTGTGGAATGTGGAATGTAAACTTTACAGATGTTTTCTGAAGTGGAACGCCATCATGAGTTTTAGTATAGAAGTGGAACGCTATGTTTTAAAACTATTATTATTAGTCTGAGAATTTGTTCTGAAGTAATAGCCTAAACTGTCCAGGCCGTGAAATTATTTATCCTGTGCTACTGTACTTTAAATATTTAATTAATTGAATATTATGTCAAATATTTTGAGAGACTCTAAGTTATGTTGCTGTGTTGAGTGTTTCAAAATATATCGCAAAAAATATTACGAGCCATTCTGCATCTCTCCTGACAGGCCTGAAACAGGCATTAGAAGCAGTTTTGATAATGCCATAAAACGTGGCCTCTGCTGTAAGTCCTCTGATCCTTAGTGGACAGTGGTCACCTGAAAAGATCCTTGCAGACAGTTGCTTTGATGTTTACAGTAGACTGAACTCTTCATTGTTTACAGTGCAGAGAGCTGTCTGTACAGTAATTTAGTAGGGAGTGGAGCTTTGACTGTGGGTCTGTGAGACTGTTAAAAGATAAGGTTAAAATAAAGTAAAACGGTGAGTTGGCTTTTAAGCATTAATACTGCTCACTCTTTTTTATTCTGTTGATCTATTTATCATCAGTCGGCTACACAGTAGCAATATGAAGCTACATAAGATTCATTAAAGCCAATTCACACAGACAGAGAGCACATATGATTAAATATAGGACATATTAACAGAGGATAAATGTTATCTTTGATTCTCTGAAGTGTATAATATGATGTATGATAGGAACACAGTAAATAGTTGGCCTAAATCTTGAATAAAACAGGCCTGCTACTCTATTGTCTGATGTGAGATTGTGGCATTCTTTTTATTCACTGTGAAATCTGAAGGCGTGGATTGGGTCATAAAAAATAGATTTATACTGGACTATCCTGGGTTTTAGTGAATTTTCATTTGAAAATAATTGATGTATTGTTAGTGAGTTGATGCCAGAATCAGAACAGATCGTACTAAAATGTAAACAAGTGTGAATCAGGCATCAGAACTCATCAGAACAGTGAATGAGGTGTGTGAGTTGTGCACAGCAGTGTGAGAGAGTGACGGAGCTTGTCATATGTGAAAGGAGAGTCAGGGAAAGTCTTGCTAACATCAGTTGTGAACATGTTTGGTTTAGTCCCAACTATTCAGCCCAGTCACTGAAGAGAGCTGTGATTGAACTACACCTCACTCCACCCTCTTCATCCTGTAAAAAGAAAAAAATACACCTCCTCCTTGTGCGGCAAAAAAATCCAGTCTAAACTGGTAATAAGTGAAACTGAAAGTGAAATCTTCAGCAGTGTCTGTTTTGTGAAGAGAGAATGAAGCAGCTGAACAGCTCTTGAAGAAAAGACACAGAGGTAATTACTGAATTTCTGACTGGACTAAAGACATTTCAGACACAGAGAGCAGAAAATAACTGAACTGTACACAGAGATACATTTCAGACAAAGACTTTCAGGAGACATCTTTAAGGAGACCTGACTGTGTGTGTGTGTGTGTGAGTGATTACAGGATTGGGTATAATCTAAAGAATAAGGCATAACCTCCGAAATGAGCTCCTCTGAGGAACAGGACACACAGAAAGCTGAGAGGTGAGAGAATCATGTGGTTTGGTGTAAAGCAAGTTTGTTCTCATCTACACCAACATGCAGGAACGTTTGTAGATCATGTCTGATACTGTTTGTGTTCTAGACTGGTTCAGGGTCAGAGATCTGACTCACCTGAACCCAGCTGTGTGTCCATGAAGAGTGACCACTCAGTGGACAGAATAATAAAGTTCAGAGAGGATAACAGCTCTACTGAGCTCAGGTAAGAGTGACAACACTGAAGAATGCGAAGAAAACATGCTGATAATTTGAACCCCAACATTTTTAAAGGTCAAATATTTAAAGACTTTTATTTGAAGTTTATAGCAGGTGACTCAGTAAGGAAAAAAAGCGAAGTCAGAAAATTCTTTACACCATGCAGTTCTTCATTATACAAAATGCAGGGGAGCTGATTTTAAGCAGCATATAAGTGATGTACACAATGTCATGCAAAATCCTACGCTTTTTTTAGATTATTGAAATATTATTAAGCATGCTATAATGACATGAGAGACAACAATATAGACACTAAACTGACACATCAAACCGCTTATGCCCACTCTGTTCACTTTACTTTTTCCTTTTAGACCTTATGCACATGAGCTGAGCAGTGAGCCAATCAGATTATGTCCCACACAAAATACAGGACATTATTACAAAATTATATTACATTAAATTTTGTTCTTAATATTTTACTTTGTTGCAATATAATATTAGAATATGGAATGCCATATAGGTGGTGGGAAACAGCAGTGAGGTCCTTAGCAGTATGGACCCCTGCGGCGGAAACTGGCTCTAGGTATGTGGAATGTAACTGCACTGGGGCGGAAGGAGCTGGGAGGTTAAGAGGTACCAACTAGATATAGTTGGGCTCACCTCTGCCCACAGTATCGGCTCTGGAACCAAACTCTTTGATAGGGGTTGTTTCTCTTCTACACAGGAGTTGCAGAGGATGAGAGGCACCGGGCGCGTGTGGGGACACTCATGAGTCCCTGTCTGGCTGCTGTGCAGTTGGAGTTTGTCCTGGTGGACGAGAGGGTCGCCTCAATGTGAATTAAAATCGCAGGGAGGAGAACTCAGTGTTCAGTGTATTTGGCCTTCTGGGAGTGAGTGGGTGGGGTTCTGGAAAGGGCCCCACCCACTGACTCCATAGTATTGCTGGGAGACTTCAATGCTCATGTTGGCAATGAATGGGAGACCTGGAGGGGGGGTGATTGGAAAGAACGGCCTGCCCGATCTAAACTCAAATGGTGAATTGTTTTTGGACTTCTGTGCTAGGCTTAGATTGTCCATAATGAACACCAAGTTCGAACACAAGAATGTTCATAAGTGTACATGGTACCAGAGCTCCCTGGGTCAAAGGTCAATGATCAACTTTGTCATGATTTCATCTGACTTGGAACCATATGTTCTGCACACTTGAGTAAAGACAGGTGCTGAGCTGTCAACTGATCACCATCTGGTGGTGAGTTGGATCGACTGGCAGAGGCCCCTGTTCGGGATGATTTTAACTCCCATCTCTGGGTGAGCTTTTCTCATGTTCTGGAGGAGGTAGGGGACATGGAGCCTGAATGGACACTGTTCAAAATTGTGTAAACCGCCATGCATAGCTATGGCCAAAAGCTTGTTGGTGACTATCAGGGCGGTAACCCAAGAACTCCTGGTGGACACTGGTGATGAAGGAGGCCTTTAGGGACTGGATGGCCCCGAGGACTTCTGACTCAGCGGATAGGTACTGACGGGCAAAAAAAGGAGTACAGTCATCTCAGAGGACCTCAGAGTAGAGCCTCTACTCCTCCGCATTGAGAGGAGCCAGTTGAGGTGGTTTGGGCAGATCACAATGCCCCCTGGATGCCTCCCAGGGGGGTTTACCAGGCATGGCCTACTGGGACAAGACCCCAGGATCATCCTAGGGCCTGCTGGATTATATCTTCA